TGTTTAATTCTCCTCGGAACTGTTCTTCAATTATTTTTTTTTTTAATTTTAAGATTATTTTCTCTTTCATTTTTTACCGTTTAACCTACTCTCCTGGGAACTTAATTCTGGAATCAATTCTACTCAGAACTGTACTTAAATTATTATTTATTTTTTTAAAAACTATTTCATCTTTCATCTTTTACCTTTTAACCTACTCTCATGGGGACTTTAATATTTATTATCCAAATAATAATCCCTTTAAAAAAAATTGGACAACATATTAAACGTGTCTTCCTGTCGGTAGGAAGTGCGTAGAGTGGGAAACTTAGGAATTTCTTAATTTTACTGATTCTTGGTTAGTTAATTCTCTTAAATTATTATTTTTTATTTTAAAACTTTTACCGTTTAATCTACTCTACTGGGAATTTTAAAAGCTATTATCCAAATAATAATCCCTCGAAATCACCTACCTGTAATTTCAAGCAATTAAGCTTTTAAGCAAAGTCAGTACCCTGTTACATAATAAATTATACTCATTTTATTACATATCTTTAAGCATTTTATGCCTTAAATGTTTATCTGTCTAGCGATTCGAAATAAAAGTTTTGCGTTAATGCAGAGTTTCTAGCATTGTGTGAATAAACTAGCTTGGAATTCATTATTTTTAATTATGTTTCAAATAAAATTAATTTTAATATATATATATATATATATATATATATATATATATATATTCATGAATCATTCAGACAATAAAACAGAGAGGTTAATGAATTAAATGGCGAGAATACATCTTCGCAAACAATATCAAAAAGATACACCAACCCCGAACCTGTATATGAATGATATGATCCCTGTTTATAAATTCCAGTTGCATAAGGTCTTTTTAATTTTTTACAAGCTTCCGTCTGTTCCTACAGACATCTTCAGTTATGGAAATAGATTTGTTCTTGTTTTTTACTTCTCGGTAATAAGAGGACAACGAAAATAGAGATGTAATCCGAAAAAAATGCTATGAGAAATGTGTTATTGTTTTGGAACGTGCGGTCGCAACGCTGAGTTTGAATTTTAAATTTTAAGGTTGTGCTTTTTTGTACAAATATAGGAATAAGAGAATTTGTTTTTACTGGTAGGAACAGACGAAAGCTTGTAAATTCAAATAGTTTTTTTTTGCATTGTAACTTATCAAAAATTATTACACACAAGATAATTAGTACGCACAATAACGATAAAAACATACAAAAACGCTGAGAAAATGAATGAAATCGCTTGTGCGTCTAGACCCGTTGGAAGCAAGAATGTTTTACAAAAAGTTAAAGTTAATCCATTGCCAGAGGTTAACTAGGAAATCTGTCTTTATTGAGGCAATAAAACAATTTTATGAGTTGATTTATAGCTTCAACTGGAATTGGGCACTTCGATGTGGTGTGATGGTTAACAAGCTTGTCTCGCGAAATCAGTTACGACTGAATAGTGACTTCGATCCTCACTGGGTTCTTCCCTACTTTCGGCCTTGTGCCACATCTAAATTCCGCTTATAAAATCACAATATCTTCAACTGGAGTCTTAAAATTTTTTCAAACTAAAAGTATCAGTGCACAGTTTATGAAATGTTTGTTTGACGATCAACTACCAAATATCACATCGATTCTGATCAGTACCTAGATGAGTGATCGATTGGGGATATCAGGGACTGTAAGCTTGGATGTGCGGGTGGTGTAATGGATAATGCCTCGAATTTCTCAATCAGAGAGCCGAGTTCCAATTTCAGTTGGGTACGTTATATTAAACTTACGCGCAAATACACATGTAAAAGGTTGCAATACACCTATTCTACCCCCGCTATGGGTTAGTTAGTAATATTTTATCACTGAGACATTTATCTAAAAAAAACAATAAGAAATAAAATTGCGTACAAAACATTTACATTTCGCTATTACATGACCCACAGAGGCGCTGACATGCCATTAAACAAAAACGACAAACCAAATAACAGACTGGGTGGAAGCACCTGTTAGGGTCTTTGCTATATGCAAGAATTTAACCCTCAAACAGAGCTCAAAACATTATGATAGTATAAAAATACATTTTTATAGTGAAAATTCCAGGAATACATTTTTGAAAAAAAAAAAAAATGAAAAGGTAAGACGTTTGATTTTCGGCAAAAAAAACTCTTCAACAAAAATCTCTCAATGAAACCTGACCTACAAAGTGATTCCTTACAAAGGATCCATATTCTATTCGTGCCAACCTATTCTAAAAGTTTTGTCGGCATTAAATAAGTCATTGAATTTGATATGTCGTAAAACAAAATAAGTCAAATGAAATAGCAGAAAACATTGTAGAACAGGTGGAAAATACTACAACTGAGAAGAAACATCGCGTCAATAAACCCTGCAGAAGTTTGTGACAAAAAGTAAAATATAGCGAAAAACACATTATTGAAGATTAACCACTTCACTACGTTTTTTGTAAAAATCAACTTTCGAATACCACGTTTAGATACTGGATTCTTTTCAAATGCTTTGTTTATGTGCTATATTTTCAATAGAAATATTCAAGAACCAGGTTGTTATTAGTTGCTAGTACCATTTTATATTCCAGCCTTAGACGCTACGTACCAGTTAATTGCGTTAAAAACGACGAAAAAAAAAAAAGACAAACTACTGGCTCGATGCCAACCACAAAAACTGGTGGTCGGCATCCTAATAAAAACTAACACCCGCATGGTTGGCAGTTTTTATGCCGACGTGTTAATGTGTTAAAATTTAACGTTCCTATATATTCACCATTTCCTCTCTGTAAAAAGTGATGCTTTCATTTATATTTCTCTTCTTCCACTACAGATATGTAATTCATTCAGTATTTTAGTCTGCTGAAGGCCAACTATGTTACAAAGAGATTTTAGATTTTATTATTCAAATAGCAGACATTGTTCTGATATATACACATTTAGATACCATATTCTGCCACACAAGAAACCTGGATAAAAATAGAATATATACGAAGTTTTGATAATTTTTCAGAGATGTTTATTTATTAAGAAAAAATATAAAAATCTAATTTCATTAAATGAAGGAACCTCCGTTTTTAATGTTCTTATTGTCGGGCAGAAGCTACTTCTCGAAGCCACCCCCCACTGTCGTGGAATTCCCTTTCATATTGTTTTGATAATTTATTAAAACATTTTAGTTAGAGTATATCTCTGAGGGCAAAAAGACCTATTTAAGCCGAAATTCCAATTCAGGCCGAAAATTTAGTTTTCAAATTTCATATTCTCTGTAACTTCAAAGCCTCTTATTTCTTGGCTTTTTGGAGAAATAAAAAGGATTTCCTCAATTCAAAAAGAAACTGAATTTAAAAGAAACATATCTAAATTCACAAAGATTTGTTTTAATTTAACTCAATAAAAAATAAAAACGTTTAAAATCAGTAATATTGTTTCAGTTATTTGAATTTTAACTATTCTATTCTCATCCTGACATAAATCCAAATACTGGATGTTCAAGCATCAGATGAAGGAGAAATCTTCAATCCCTGGATCATCCTGATTCACAAAACATATATGTTTATATATTATTTACATTATTCCGATTATTGTCCTCATCTTTGTCGACAAATTTATTATTACGTTTCGGCCGTTGTACGCTACAGCGTTCTTTAGTTAGTTTGGAACTGAACCCTTTATTTCGCCAACTGGGGTAGACTGTTCTAGTTCCACGTGCCATGTCTAATGGATGTCAGTTATCAGTTATCTCCTGTTAATTCCCCTCTCCAAGTTCTCCACAACATTAACCGTCCTCAAGAACACATGGCACAGTGGATAAAGGCGTTAGATGCAGTGACAGGACACAAAAGAGTGTGAGTTCAAGTGGAGAACGTTGAACGTTGTAATAAATATGGCGACGAAAATAAGGACAATAGTCCGAATAATGTAAATATGTACATAATACCTCATCTCAGAAATATAGACAGATAATGAAAGGCCGAAACGTTGTAATAAATATGGCGACAAAGATGAGGAGAATAGTCCGAATAATGTAAATAGTGTACATGATACCTCATCTCAGAAATATAGACAGATACTGAAAGGCCGAAACGTTGAAATAAATATGGCAACAAAGATGAGGACAATAGTCCGAATAATGTAAATAGTGTACATAATAACTAATCTCAGAAATATAGACATATATGTTTATGTTGAGCAAGTGTGTCCCCGGCGATAGGGTTTTGAGTCATACAGATAAACCGACACATTTATTTATTTATATATTTTATGTCACTCTCAGCAAAACAAAACACTGTAGAGTCGTATGAAATGATGATTGATGCAGGATATGGTGAAGATTAAAGAGATCGTGATGAGGACATTGGAAAAATTCAATTTTTGGGGGGTTATGGAGGGTTATGGGGGGAGTTTTCAAGAAGTGGCTGCGGTACTAAAACAGGGAATAGGATGTTTCTCCTTTGTAGGGGTTAGATTTATACTGCTTTAAAACCATTGAAAATGTCTCAAAACCTCTGCAGGTATGTATAGATACATACTACGTTTTATATGAAGGTATATATGTTTCGAAGCTTTTATTTTATTACAATTAGGCACCTGCCATACAGTATTGGAATACACAGTAATCCTTCACATAAGAGGCGTAAAATAAACTGTTATAGCATGAAGGGCGTAACATCGATAAGGCCAAGGTGTATACGGTTATTACAATTACACATTATTACAACGGCTAATTTATTTACTGTTTTTTTCTTGGTGTGATATCAACCTCAACGGGTTATTTAATGTCGAAATCTAAATACTTTGTACGTATTATGATGTTTACTTTCATTTGTAGGTGGCAGTGATATAATAATTGTTTATTGATAAACCTTTTACTAATTAACCCATAGCTAGGGGAGAAGAGGTGTATTCATAACTGCATTTGTGCGTAAGTAAATCGAACGCATCGAAAGGGGAATTGGATTAACATTTCCGAGCCGTTATCCATTACACCGTCCATATATCGAAACTTACAGCACATGGTACTCCTAAGTGGTCACCTATCTAGGTTCTGACCAGGCTCGACGTTGCTTAAAGTCGGTGATCGTACGGGAACCAATGTTTCAATGTGGCGCGGCCGTAAGCACACAACAGCTAATGGTGGACTACGCAACAAATAAATGCTGAAAACATGGGACTGTTCTTGTACTTCTGATGCCACAGGAATTTGTGAGCATCCGACTTGAAGAATGCCTCAAGTTCCAAACTGTCGACGCAGTTTCGGCTTGACGCAACATGTTGCCACTCCAGCGATAGACGTAACAGATAAGCCTGGACACTTCGAGGTCGTGTAATGGTTAACAATCTTGTCTCGTTAGAACAGTTACGACTGAGAAGTGAGTTCGATTCTTGTTGGGTTACCCATACATTCGGTCTTGTAACACATCTAAGCTACACTAAAAAATTTGGCATCACAACGTGATGTAATGGTTAACAAGCTTGTCTCGTTAGAATAATTTGAACCTTTCGGTCTTGTGTTTCATCTAAGTTACGCTTCCAAAATATTCATAACAAATTAGTTGCTTTAGTGGCAACTGCTGTTAGCAAAAGTCTTTGACACTTCGATGTTTACATGATTTGCTATACCAGAGACAACCATCTGTTGCGTCTTGATAAGCATTTCACTCAAATGACTGATTACAATGTGGAACTGTTACCTGATTCCCTAAGATGATTGCCGAGTTCTAATAAGCACCGATCTTCTTGTAAAATATCTTCTCGTGATGATGATTAATTTGGATCAACCACTGACTTCGTCTACCATGTGACATGTCAGAAATGAAACAGGACAATTTAAGTGAAGCAGAACAGTGATAGATTCTTTTATAGCGTTTTTTATTATTACTAATTATTACTATTATTACTAATTATTACTATTATTACTAATATGTTATGTATTCACTATGTGACGGGTTATTGTAAACTTGTGCAACACTTATCTAATCTTATTAAATACCTTCTTTTATATGTCGTGTCCCTTCAGGATGTCTTTTAAGGCAATTCACCCCCCCTCCCCCAAGAAGTGCCACTAGCACGCACTGGGTTACGGAGGACTGAGAACAAGAGTAAAGATGCATTTTGGGGGAAAGTATACATAGAAGGACGGGGTAGAAGTTCAGCGTGTCAGATGTTGATTGACATTACACTAGAATATTTGAAGATTATAGTCATCGGAGAAGCAAGTAAGGGGAAGGGAGTTCCACAGTTGGGAAGTGCGGGAGAAGAAGCTGTCTGAGTAAAAGAGACGGTTACATTTAACCGTTTTCACAGTGAAAGGGTGGGACCGAGGTGCCAGCCCGGTACCTCGTTTAAATTCATGCAGTCCGGGAATCAGAGAAAGTAGCTCGTCGGAACAGTTGCTCTGAAAATGTTTGTAAAAGAGACAAAAGGAGGCCACAGCACGTCTGTGGGATAGCGATTGATGCCAGATCAGTACTTATCATATTGCATATTTGTCTCTGGATTTTGTCCAGGACCTCGAGACGTACAGCAAGGACCGATGGTTGGTTTATAGATTTGAAGGATGGATTCAGACGAGAAAACACTTTAGGCGATCGTGGGTCTCCATATCTTCCTTTCCCTAGTAGCTCTTAATAAACTTTGTCTTTTTGTTATTTCTAACAAAACCTGTTCTACCGTCCATTTATTCAAGCTCATCAAGTATACTAGCGCTGCTTTCATCTATCCCTCTTTCCCTTAATCTGTCCCGTGAGTATCAGATTTTCCAAGACCTCCCTCCTCATTAAGTGCTTTTTTTTTTATAAAACCTTGTCATTGTTCGCATGTTTAGTCCATTGTCTCCCCAGCATCTTTCTGAAGAAACACATTTCTGCTGCTTCAAGTCACTTCTTTATCTCTGAGGAGATTATCCAATATTCACTGCCACACAGAAGGACAGATATCACGTAACAGTTCAATGCTATTTTGTTCGTTTTTTATCAATATTTTTCTGCCTCTTAATACTCTGCTTAGCTTTTGGAAGGCATCTTTGACTATTCCATTGTCTCCTAGGATCTCAGTGTCTCATTTTCCGTCATCTATTAGTACAGTTCGTAGATATTTAAATATTCGTACATGTTTGATTTTAGTACCCTTGATTGATAATTTGCATTTTGGGCTTCCATACTCTTTGGACACATCTGTACCAGTTTCCTTTTACGAGGGCCCGACAGAATCGATTGATAAATTATAAATGCTTCTATACTTTAATCAGCCCATATAAGTGCGTATTAAATCTTTTACGATTTCCCTTTGCCGTTAACAAAGCCTGTCTCATCACTCAGCGGGCATCTTTCGCTTTGTGACCTCTCTTTTCTTGATCAATGCCGGAGAAATCTGGCTAAAAACCTGAGGCTGTCTCATTTTAATGTAAACGTCGAATCTTTTGTCATTCTTGTATTTCACAAACCAACTCGTAATACGAATTACTCTGACTTACCGACGGCAAAACCAATCATTCGTACATTATTAGGTGTGCGTAAAAGTTATCAACATTAAGTTTTCATAGACAGGGATTGATAAAAATAAAATACGTTGGTGTTCACTTCACCATGTTCGCTGCTACTTGCATCGCTTTTAACATCAGTTAATTTGTGAATTGATATAAATATTCTGAAGAACAACAGTCCCTTTCCTTTCTCTATGATTTTTTAATTCAGAGTTTTTCTTCTATCGTTTTCCTTAGCAAGGCTAGAGAGCTGTCTGCCTTACTATTTTACACATATCTGAAGAAAGAAAATGAATCCATCAATTTACGTACAGCGTTTGTAAGGAATAAAAATGCTTGCTAGACTTCTTATTTCTAATTCGGGCTGTTAAGTGAGATCTTTACAGATTCATAGACTAAAAGGTTAAAATATTCTTAATTCAGAAAGGGTAAATATTCTGTGTTTTTATTATCCTGTAATGGTTTTAGAGAATTAAAAAGGAAATAAATAAAGATCACGAGGTCGTAAACTTGAAATTTTGATCTCGCAACTTCCATGATCTGCTTTACTGTTTTGAATACATATTCATCCAACGAGCGAAGAACAATTTAAAGTAGAGAGGTATTAAATGAGGTCGTTGTATGGACGTAATGGAAGGAAGTAAGGGCAGCTTATGAGGATATGTAGGATATATAACGCTTGACTAAAGTCCTGAAGAGGTTGTTGATTGTAGTAAAGGTGGAAGCAGTAAGAAGCTCTCTGAGTAGAACTTCCTCCGGGTTATATGGCCTGTCGTGTCTTACCTCAGTGAACATGGCCTGTCGTGTCTTACCTCAGTGAACATGGCCTGGTGGATCTTACCTTAGTGGACATGGACTGGCGGGTCTTAACTCAGGGAACATGGCCTGGTGGATCTTACCTTAGTGGACATGGACTGGCGGGTCTTACCTCAGTGAACATGGCATGGCATCTCTTACCTCAGTGAACATGGCCTGGCGTCTCTTACCTTAGTGAACATGCCTTTGCGGGTCTTACCTCAGTGAACACGGCCTGGCCGTTCTTACCTCAGTGAACATGGCTTGGTGGGTCTTACCTTAGTGGATATAGCCTGGCGGGTCTCACCTCACTGAACATGGCCTGGCGAGTCTTACCACAATGGACATGGCCTGACGAATCTTAGCTCGCAGAACTAATGTACCAGAGATCAATATTCAATCCCGGATAAAAACCGGCATTTCTTACGCATACAGTGTTAAGCATGATAAAAATTTGCATCTCATTTTATTTCTTTTAATCAATGAAAATTTGCATAATTCGATTAAACTACCTCATTACTACTATTATGTGCCATTCCCCTTCAGGACCTGGGCGATCATGACTCTTCACAACCTCCTAGCTGTCGTAGTTCTAAGCGTTATTTGTCGTTTGACTATCTCTCTCACAACTGTTCTACTATCCGTTTACATGAGACCCTTAGGTAGGTTACTCGTTAACGTCCTTCCTGTCTTTAATATGCCCGTGCGTGTCAAATTTTCCATCTTTCTTGTCACAAGGTTTCCTAGAAATTTCAACTATCTCTTAAATTTTATGTATATTGTCATTTTTGTTTCCGTTTTCCAAAAACAATCTTCGTTGCTTAAAGAATCCGTCTATTGTATTCTCAGCATCCTTCTGTAGAACTAAGTATTGATTGCCTCAATCTTTTCTTCACATATCAGGAAATTGTCTGACAATCAGTTATATTTTAAGATTGATATTACATAGCAATTCAGCACGCTGTTCATTTCTAACGATTTTTTTTTTAATTCTTAATATTTGTTTCGTTTTTGGAAGCTGACTTGTTCTATTCCGACACCCGTTCGAAATTCGTTGTCACATTTACCGTCAACTGTTAAAACTCTTCCCAGATATTTAAACTTCTGGACTTAAATCATGAAAAGCAAACAAATGGTGAAATACTTTTCTCTTAATCGTTTCAGCTACAAGTAAGACAATAATGCTACTAAGACGTTAAGATAAGTAAGGCAATAATGTTACTAAGACGCAAGATAAGTAAGGCAATAATGTTACTAAGACGCAAGATAAGTAAGGCAATAATGCTACTAAGACGTAAGATAAGTAAAGTAATAATGCTGCTAAGACGTAAAATATGTAAGGCAATAATGCTATAAGACGCAAGAGGGTTACAGGGAGGGAAAGTAAAAGAGAATAAGAGAACTGCGAATGGGGAAGATTGGGGAAATTATATAAACAGGGACAGGGTGCAAGAAATCAGAAAATAGAGATTGATGTTGCATTTACATTTTTGAAGATTGTAGTTATCAAGGAGGCAAGAAATCAGAAGGGACAAAGTGGGAGGCGTGAGAATAAAATTGTTAGAGTAGAAGTGGCGGTTGTATCTAGTTCAATAATGAAAAAGATGAAACATAGTTGCTGATCTAATAGCACTCTTAAATGTAGTCAGGGCAGCAGGGGAAAATATTAGGAGAGTGGCCATGAAAAAATTTGAAGAAAAAGACTTTTTTTATATAAATTATCAGGTTCACCTTATGTATAGTGTTTTAAGGACATATCGACACCAAAATAAATACAATACTCTAAAACGAGATTGTTAGCAAAACATTGTCGGATGTTTTAATCATGTTGTATCCTT